CTTTTTGTAAATTGTTAACAGGTTATGTAGGTACCAAAGCAGTGATTATTGCCATATGGAAAATAATTTTAATTTTTACCCATGGCGAGAATATGAATAAGTTACCTATATGTAGGTACGACAGGGTTTAGAAATAAATTCGACACGAAAATGCTATGACGATAAACTGTTAGAAACTATCTAGATCATGGGTTCCCAAACTTATTTTGTCTACTGTCCACTTTGAGAATAAATAATATTTTAGCGCCCCCATTTTTTCACCTACTTAAAAACCACTATTACTTCAAGAACAACAAATCACCCTAGACCCTCTACACAACGCCCCCATTTTTTTTAATCTCTTACCCTTTAGGCCTACAGCGCCCACAAGGGGGCGTTATCGCCCACTTTGGGAAAGGCTGTTCTAGATTTAAACTCCACTTACCCTTTCTCAGTTTCCTAGACAATGCTAACGTTACTTGAGATTGTTTTTTTAAGAGATGATAATGGAATGGTTACCCCGCGTGCGATATCGGTATACACTGGCGGGGCACTAGTGAGGGATGATAGGTGAGCATGACGACAGGTCAGTTGGGCCATCGTGACGAATTTGACAATAACTAATTGCGATGGTTTCCAAGGAGAACCGCGTGGATGTCGAAAGTAGAAAGAAGAAAGTAGAAAGAAATTCGTTTTAAAGAACGGATACCAAATTTTTTTCTGTCTACCTCCAATGATTAATTTACGAAAATACAATTTTCCTTTTAGCTATTGAGAGTGTTGCCATGCAATTATTAGGTATAAAGTGAACACCCCCGAAAAAAAAATTTAGATTGTGCATGTTAATTTTTCCCGCGTGCGTAGCCGCGCGCTACAACCAGTCAATAATATAGCAAGTTATCATTTTAATAACAGTGACAAAAATATGATTTATTATAGAAACCGATCACAAACATGAAAATGTATTTTATCCGAAAAATTAATTAAAAGATGGCGGCGTATCGAAGGCGCAGCTGTCGTTTCATTACGTCATTATAGCACAAATTGTTTTGCCGACCGTACCCCATTGCATAGGGTTGCCACCAGTGAAATTATTGAATTATGACAGAAGTAAACATACGCAACTAAAAAAATTACAATCAGTGGGAACAAAATTATCTAAAATGGCAACCACAAGCTTCAAATGTATTTTTTTTAATGGATGATAATGAAATGGTAATCCCGTCTGCGCTATCGGTTTACGTTGACGGAATACCAGTGAGTGATGATAAATCTAACAAAATTTTGTATATAGCGTCTATTGGTTGAAAACATATGTGGCTTCATTGTTTTTTTGTAATTTTTATGTAAATATGCCTTGATTTTCCTTTTACAAACAAATAAATAAACAATCGTGACAGATATGTATGTATGTATGTATGTAAATAAACAAATGAACAAACATGAGCCCATTTAGTTCGTATTCGTTTCCTAAATTCCTAAATTTTCTTAATTTAAATACGTAAATGGTATAGACACGTGACGCATAAGGATGAGGAGTATGTTTTAAGAAAGGTATGAAGTATGAATGTGGATGGCTATAAGAGCAGAGGAAGACTTAGGAAGGCATTGATAGCCAGAGTAGAAGTGAATGCTGAAATGACTGCGAATAAAAAAGTTGGAGTTAAGAAGATAATTGGAATGAGGGTAGAAAAATAATGATAATTATGACGAAATACTTAAGTATTTAAAGCTAAAATAAACAATTATATGTCCAGGTATTCCATATAAACTATATCATATTTATTTGCATTCAATGGTACACTAAAAGTACGTGCATTTACAAAATATACCGACATATGAATATATTAAAAACTCACGAGTGGCAACCCTGATCTATATGCACATTTGGAATACATTAATTTAGCTTTTTACTGCCTACTATTTATGTAAATGTGTAATGTGTTTTCGTGCCGGCTTTATGGTGGAAATTAATGTGTATACGGATGATGACCTGCGCCATCTAGCGGTGAGGATTTCTTACGAGTTTCACGGATCGATTCACGCTTCTTGACAAACATTTTGATATTTTCAACCGACTTTAAAGAGAAGGACGTTCTCAAATCGGATGTATTTTTCTATGTCTGTTACCTCATTACTCCGTCAGTTGTGAACCAATTTGGGAAATACTTTTTTTATCTGAAAAGATATACTTACAGATTAGTTTCATAAAAATCATATCAAAATCGATTCAACAGTTTAGTTTTTAAATTAAAATAACTGATTTTGCCGCAACTGAAGTCGGATTTTTGTGGACTACAAACTTAAATTATTTTATGTGTATGATATTTATTATTCCAAATACCATAACAAAAATTAGATACATAATTATAACTCGAATAATCTATTCCTCACAAGCAGCACCCGTTCCCGATTATGACGAATAAACTGCCTTTTTTATACAACTTAGAATGGCAAACAAGCTAACGGCCCACCTGATGGAAAGTGTTAACCGTCGCCTATAGACATGAGTAGTATCATGGACATAACAGAGTATACTGTTTCGCCCATGATACCTCCCCATGCGTTGCCATTCCTGAGGACTCAGGTGTTATACCTCTGTACCCAGTAAATTGGCGCCATATCCCACCCTTCAAACTGAAACACAGCCATGCAAACACAACTGCTTCACGGTTGAAACACGAATGGAACAGAGGTATCCAAGCAATCGACTTTTGTACAAAGTCTCCCTCTGGTATCACTGCCTAACACTATCAAGCCAAAATAGCCTCGATATCACATAATGGGTATAAAACAATAGAATCCTACGTTCCTTAACCATAGATCGTTATCAACGTACCCGCGTACCGACTACCTTAATTCCGTTGACACGTAAAGTACTCTAATCAGAATCGATTCACCATAATGCGATCCCGACTCGTAACCATTGCTTACTAATCGTAAATCAATGTGAACCCGCCATAAAAACACCGGCGGCGAGCGGCAGCATCGATGATATCTCGCGATTGTGATGCAAATCGGTTCTGGAATCGATTATTATCGATTTATCAGTTGAGCGGCCGCGCTCGGGGGTATTGTTAGGATGTGTGCACGTAATGAACCTAATAAGTACTCTTCGGGTTTACAGAGCGAGAGAGGGTTTCACGCATTCTAATACATATTCTGTATGGAGATGCTAAGTTTTGTAAATGTACTTCGAAACATTTGTAAAAAAAAAATATTACAGTCAAGTCTTTAATTGGCAATTTTGAAATATATGTAAAAGGTATTAAAAAATTTTAAGATCAGAATAGTTTGATTGAACGGGAATCAAAACCACATCCCTATGCTATTTGAGGCAAAGGCACTGTACATTAGTGGGTCTACCGTGAAATAAAATTGTAAATCGATTTTAAAAAGAAATCTTAATTAGATTTTTTAAATACGAGTATTTGTTACCTCATAACTCCGACAGTTCTAAACCAATTTGGAAAATCTTTTTTATAAGGATATACTTACAGATTGGTCTAACAGCAATTGTATCAAAATCGATTCAGTGGTTCAGTTTTTAGATCAAAATAACTCATTTTGTCACAATCGAAGTCGGTTTTCTTTTGTGGGACACGATTTTTAATTATAAAATTTTTAATAAACATACAAAGTGAAATCGATATCATAGATAGATAGATAGATACTCTTTATTGTTTCCTACAAAAGATTACAATAGTAAACTTTTATAGATACAAACAATTACAACTCATTAGCAACCTTTTACAGAAACAGGTCAAAAAACGTCAGTCAGGAAGCCAAAAAAATATTAAACATAATAATTGAATTATACAATACAAGCGTTGTAGTAACTTTATTAGATTCTAATCAAGTAAGTAAAGAAATAAATTATACTTAGTCGTATTCAGCGTATTCTGCGCTAGAATGAAAAATATTGCAATGTCGACAAATAAATATTTGCCTCCTTACTATTTCATATACGATTTTCCGAAATTACCAAGCCTAATATTGCAAGAATTTTATGTTGAAATTACGAATGGTATCCTGTCGAAATGGCACAATTCCAATCGTTCGGACACTTTATGGTTAGGTTTATGACGCATAAAGCGTCACCCTCCGTCTATGAGCTGAACGTTGCGAACGTGTTTCATACGTACGAATTTCGTGTTCGAAACTTCGCAATTAGATTTCATGGTTGACCCACACAAGTTGTTATAAAACGCCACAGCACTCGAATACAAGTGGCAGAAATTATAAGCTTAGTGCAAAATTGGTTATAACAGAAAGACCATTGAAAAGGGTCATTATGATAACAACTGCCTTGTTCCTATATAATTTTAACGCAATAATTCTTAGCTCTATATTAAAAGCGTCATGCTTGAGACGTTGTTTACTGCACTGACTGGATTACGACGCTAAGGAGTTATAATGGGCGTTTATGGGTCCAAGTACTAAAACGGCTAAGGTTCTATTTTAAACTTTTTTTTTTTTTATTAGATGCCATGTTAGTTTAGAAACTGTTTGTTTTTAGGGTTCCTCGCCAAAGTGTTACAAAGGAACTCTTATGAGACGACTTCGTCCGTCTGTCAAAGTACTTTATCTCAGCAACTACAGACAGTTTTGATTTAAAATTTGAAATAGTTTTAATAATAATCATAATAATATAATTTATTTGCTGATGAAATAATAAAGGAATATGAAATAGTAACCCCACCCGCGTTATCGGTATACACCGGCGGGGCACCAGTGAAGGATGATAGACGAGGATGAAACAGGTCAGTTAGCCCATCGTGACGAATTCAACGAGAATTGTTCACGATGGTATCCAGGGGGAACCATGCGGAGGTTGACCTGATATATAGCATATTGCTAGCAATGGGGCTGTCAAACTCCATTGCTAACAATTCCTTCCTCCCATTCCTGAGGACTTAAGGTTTTTTTTTTAATGAAAAGATGACTAGAAAAAGAAAATAAGTTATAATGTATTTTTGTATAATAGTTCAATATATACTTACAATTTAATTTCCTTTCAGCTACGATCGAGTCGTTCCATGCGCCGACAGGGGGCGCTGTCGAGCTGCCGTGTGACGTCACGCCCGCCCTGCCAGATGACAAGATGGGCCTCGTGATATGGTACAAGCAAGGCCACGAAACACCCATATACTCGTAAGTTGTTTTCACATAAATATATTTTATTCCAAAATATAACAAATCTCTAATTCAATAGAACCACAGATAATATAATATTATATATTATGTAATAACTTAATGAAAATTTATATAAAAGAATAATTAACCCAACCATAAGATGGTCTACTATTGGCTAATAGTAGCATAAATCAAAAATGTATTAATTGAGTAAAAGATTTGACTTGATAAGAAAGACACACATACACACACTCATACCCACGCGTGCACACACGCACTCGCACACGTCCTCACACGCACACGCGCCCACGAACACGCACACGCCCACGCACACGAATAACATATGTAGCAAGACGTAGAGATATTGTTTAACTGATCTAATACTTTAATCTGACCTGTATAATAAAAAAATTTGCATTCGTATTCTGCGACTGTGCCTGCATGGTTTTAGTTAAAAAAAAACTTTATCATACTAATCTGGGATACGGTCTATCTGTTTGTCAAATATTTTGCAGATCTCGCTCTGCATCTATATGTATGTATATATTGGAATGTTGCGTTGGTTTGGTCATTTGGAGAGGATGGATGAAAGAAGAATTACAAAAGAGATTTATCGAGCAAGAATGAATGGAGATGTCGGTAGGGGCCGCCCTAGACGGACGTATGTCGACCAAATAGGCGACGTGCTGAAGAAGGGCCAAATTAAAAGTACCCGTAACCGACGAGCGTGTATGACAAGATTGATGAATGTGGAAGAAGCGAAAGAGGTTTGTTTGAATCGAAGCATTTGGCGTTCCATTGTTTCTGCCTACCCTAATGGCAGACAGGCGTGACAGATATGTATGTATATATACATATATATATATACATACATATATATATATATATATATATATATATATATATATATATATATATATATATATATATATATATATATATGCAACATGTAGATATTGTTATATATTAAGCTTTAATATTAAACCCTCTTAAAAGATGAACAAAATTACCCACGCCAATGACCGTTTCAGTCGACAGGTGATCCGTAATGGAATCCATTCACTCTTTGATACGGAGCCGATCTCAATCCACTCTCAGGCTTGTTTGATCCGCGTCAATGATCAATTGAAAACACACTCGAGATACTGAGTTGAGCATAATGTAATTTCAAACTGGGGATTGACCGTGCTAATTATGTTACTTCAATATGAATTCCGTATTGCACTCGAATCGAAATTTCTAAACTTAATTATTATTGTGCAATATATTTTTTTCAGTCTCGACGAAAAGTGATTATTTTATATATAGATTTTGAAAATTTAATTTGTATATTTTAGCGGAATGGTATCTCGTACCTCTCAGACAAACAGAGAGACTCCAAAATTCACTTTAGTTGAACGCTGGTTAAATTGTAGCAATATTTAGTTGAAATTTACTTTTATACCATAAAAATCGTGAAAATATATACGCTCTGATGGTTACCTAAAGTAATCTATAGTAATATTAACGCCAAAAGTATCTTTCGTGCAAAGAACTAAAGTTTCTTTTTCTGTTTCTTTCAAACATAAAGTCCAAAACTTAAACACAATCCTCGAAATATTTGGGATTAGATCAAATATCTATGTTATACAATAATTTAAGATCTTGTTCCACAAGATAACCGACTTCGATTGTGCCAGAATTAATTAGATTTAAAACCTATTGTTTATAATAAGTTTATTGTAGTAGTTTAAGTTTATTGTAATCTTTTGGAGGAAACAATAAAGAGTATTTATCTATCTATCTATTGCGCCATCATCACCATCATCATCTCAGCCGTTATCCGTCCACTGCTGGACATAGGCCTTTCCCATAGACTGCCATAAGAAACTGTCCTGAGCCACCTGCATCCACAGACTCTGTACTATGCGTTTGAGGTCGTCACTCCATCTAGTGAGGGGTCGTCCTACACCGCGTTAAACTAGTTTTGTCTCTTTCATTTGTGCTGAATTCCCTATTTGAAATAAAGTGACAACACAACGTAATAGTTTTTTTTTTGAAATTGTATGGTAACCCCAAAATGACGGAGCACCAGTGAAGGGTGATAGATGAGAATGAAAACAGGCCATTTAGCCCATCATGATGAATTCATCAGGAATTAACCGTGATAGTTTCCAGGGAGAACAGCGAGGAGGTCGATCTGGTTGAGTTATTGCTAGCAATGGGATTCTCAGTTTACATTACTAACAATCCATTTCCCCCCAACGTAATAGTTTGTAGTAGTATTTATCCGTCCAGTTAAAATAGAATTTTCTATATAGGTTTATAAATGACGGAGTTATAAGGTAACAAATAAAGAAAAAAAATACAACCAAATTCAAAACTTCCTCCTTTTTTTAAGTCTATTGAAAATAAAGTTAAATTGAGAACTGTACCCCTTTTTGAAGTCGGTTGAAAATATCATTTTGTCCTCATAACATACCGTCAAAGAGGACCTACTAATTTCCAATACAAGTGATTTACATAACAACTAACGCGGTGCGGATATCAGAGATCACCTGTTTAAACTACTTCGTACTAAATCATACGAGTGCGAGCGAGACACACGATGTGCGGCTCTGTACCACTCAATCCCGGATTGACCTAATTTGACGTAACAAACGTGCCGCTTATGAATTTAAGCTTCTTAAATCCTTAGCTAGCACATTTCTATTGCCAACAACACGCTAAGTAGTTAGATGTAATATGTACCAGACGAACATACAGACTTTTTTTAATATGCACTCTAACGGGACACCACGGAGGGATAATGGGATAGAGTTACACCTTTTGTGAGATTTTAATGGACGTGAATGGTATGGTAGCCCCGCCTGCGCTAACGGGATACGCTAGCGGCGCACCAGTGAAGGGTGATAGATGAGAATGAAAACAGGCCAGTTAGCCCATCATGATGAATTCATCAGAAATTAACCATGATAGTTTCCAGGGGGAACCGCGAGGAGGTCGACCTGGTTGGGTGTATTGCTAGCAATGGGATTCTCAGTCTCCATTATTAACAATCCCTTTCCCCCCAACGAATATAAATGATTTATTTCAATATCGCTCATACATCGGATATCTGTATTTATTTCGATCGGGCTCTTCATTTTGATATTATATAGATAGATAGATAGATAGATACTCTTTATTGTTTCCTCCAAAAGATTACAATAGTAAACTTATTATAAATAATTACAAGAAATAATCACCATGAGAAAACAATGGGCGACCTTATCACATCACTAAGAGCGATCTCTTCCAGGCAACCTTTGGATGGAGAGGAGTAATTATAAACAATTTGGTAGGAGGCACGATGAAAAATTTTGTTAGTTCTAGATATGGGGCTATATAATGCATATGTATTGGATGACCGGCATTTAAAATATCCGTTTTTGCGCTAAAATATTTAGATATTATACCTACGATTTATACATATTGCTATAAATAAGCCGCGAATTGTCCACTGTTGAACATAGCATATAAGGAGAGATTTGCCAGCAGTTCCCATGCTTGGCAGGCTGGTTGGCAGTCGTCGTTAGCCTTTTTTTTTATACAACTTAGAATGTGGCAAACAAGCTGATGGCCCACCTGATGGAAAGTGGTAACCGTCGCCTATAGACATGAGCAGTACCATGGACATAACAGAGTATACTGTTTCGCCCACGATACCCCCCATGCGTTGCTATTCCTGAGGACTCACAGAAATTCACGCCATATCCCACCCTTCAAACCGAAACACAGCCATGCAAACACAACTGCTTCACGGTTGAAATACGAGTGGGACAGAGGTACCCAAGCAAACGACTTTTGTATAAAGCCTTCTACTACAGCGCTACATCTTTTTCTTGTAAAACGGATAAGTCAGCAAAACACTGGTTTCTTAAAACAATTTCAGCAAATACAATACAAGAATGAAATAGAAAAGTTTTTTAATGTCCATAAAACGCAAAGCGGAACGCGTGCAAACATTATGGGACTCCACTATAACAAACTTCCCCCATAAAACCATTGTAGTTTTTTTTCAAAGTTGCAATAACATAAAAGAGATTGTAAGTTAAAAGAATATAGGTAAGTGATTATTTTAACTAACTTCACAACGAGGGAGACACTCAATTCGGTTGTGTTTTTGTTTGTTACCTCACAACTCATCTTACCTTAAGGTTGTCTTGAAAAGACCGCCTTACTGTACTTATACAATTGTATCGTTGAGTTTGTAAATTGCCTTGCTTATTTCCTATATTGTATAATGCAAATAAAGTATACTCATTCATTCATTCATTCATTCGTTCAATTCATTCAATTGTACACCAATTTGGAAAAGTCTTTTTTATTTCAATTTAAATATACTTACAGGTTGGTCTCGCATAAATTGTGGTCAAAATCGAAACAGTAGTTTAGTTTTTAAACAGAAAAAAAAACTGGTTTTGTCAAAATTGAAGTAGATTTTTTTGTTGAACACAATCTTGAATTATGTGTTTAAAAAATTTACTGTGATAGCGACAAGATATAGCCAAGATTATCACCAGAGACTGCAGTATGAGATTTTTCAAAATAGGTGTAATGAGCTTTGGTAAGGGTCAACAACGCGCGTCCTTTTATGTAGAAAAATAACTTATAATTTAGTATTTATTCCACAAAAAAAATCTAACTTCCAATGACAAAACCAGTTATTTTGATTTAGAACTAAATGACTAAACCTATTTTGATCAAATTTCTATGGGATGAACATCCAAGTCGAGGGGGAGGGATTGTTAGCAATGCAGAGTTCCATTGCTAGCTAGTAGCTAAACAATCGTGCTAAATTCATTACAATGCGCTGATTTCTGCCTGATCTGCCTTTTCTACCTTACCTATCATCATTCACTGGTGTCCCATCAGCGTATACCGTTAGCCCAGGAGGGGCTATCATTTCATTATTATCTATTAAAAAAAACCTACATATCGGTTTATAAATAACAAAGTTATGAGATAGTAAACAGGTCCTTTTTTGTAGTCGGTTT